AAATGGATGAGCATGGCATTCGAAATCTGCTTATCAGATCCTAGCGATAATAGAAACATACGTAAGAGGTCAAATAGTTTCGAAATACTGTTAAAAAATATGAGACACTGATAGGGCAGAATGTCTTAGTTTAAGTCCGTCAAAAACTTTTTGGGTACTGATACTTTACGGCAAGAAGCATTATCTTGCTGCAGTAGCGAGTCAATGGCTAGAAATAGTCTGTTTCCCGATGTAAAATCATGGTGGCTACTAAGTGCGCGCGATAAACGCAAAATTATTACCAAAGTCAACAAAAGCTCACCCGCTTGTACATTCTGCCTGTTCTTCGTAAAGTCTGGACCTTAACAAATGAAAATGTTTGGTCTATGCTGAAATCTAACAGATTATTCAATAAGGACCGAAAACGGGATGATATCATTAAGGAAATTACCGAAATTTGGTCGAAACTAACAATTGACTTTGCCAGATCCGTGGTGGCATCAATTCCAGCAAGGCATCGGGCTGTAGTGGCTCATTTGTGTAACAGTACTAGGCTTTCGTCAAAATACTAAGCCGACTACTGTAAGTCAAAAGAGTATGATTCAATCGCGCGTATGTCCAATCGGTCGCAGTATGTCTTTCGGCAAAATTAAGTCGAGCAATCTTATGGCGACTTAGCACATGGGTGCTTTGGTCAGTTTAGACCTCTTTATGATTCCTGAGCTCTTAAGTACTCGGCAAACAGTCATCGCTTTCACAGATCCGCCCGCATGTGAGGTCAAAGCTGTACAAGCGGGTGAGCTTTTGTTGTCTTTGGTAATAATTTTTCATTTATCGCGCGTACTTAGTAACGGGCTTCGCCTCGAAATAGACTCTCCTGACTCAAAAGGTAAGAAAATACTGGCTTCTTCATAATGAGAATTTAGATAGGAAAAACGCGGCATCTCTTAAAAACTATCTAAATTTACTTAATTACAATGTCTGTAAAGCCAAAAGTCTGCTCCCCACATATTAAACTCAAATTTGTTACTATGGGCTATAACTATGTATGATACACCAAAATTCGTAGTTTTCTATAAATTGAACACAAATATCGGTAAATTGTACTGAACATGCACTGCCAACAAAATACTATAAAATTTATTTTTGAAAAACCTTACAAATGTTAAAATTGGTGGTACTAAGTTTAAGTTGCTGAGTGGGTTATAACTATCATAAGCACTGTATATATAGTAATATTAATAAATAAAATAATAATAAAATAAAAATACGTTCCTTCTTTTTAGGTTGAAGTATTYAACGTGTTATTCATAAGAGAGCAAGAGAAAAGACATGTGGTCCACTGTTTACCATGTGTGTTGAAACTATCTCCATCATTACAAGGCATTGTTTGCTTGGAAGAGTACCGATTGTCAGAGCTGGAGCATGTGTACGACTCTTTTACATTATATAGAACACAAGGACTTGGACAAACACATTAACTTAAGTAATGTAATATTATATTTTTTCCTTACAATGAACGTTTTGTACACCGAAAAGAAATTATTAAATTTATATATGTAGTTCTGAAAAAATTTTACGTTTGGCCATTATCTATAGAGCACTTCTGGGTTTCTCTTGCTACCTTAGAGCATGTTTTTATATTAACCATGGCACACAAATGTTGACCGTTTTGCGATGTATGCATTTGCATGTAAATGTCAGAGGTAATACGGAACCTACCTTTATTGTTTTTTATACCCTGAACCCATGAAAATGGAAAATCAGGGTATATTGATTTTGTTAAAAGTATGTAGC